GAGGAGACGGGACCGAGGAGACAGTCAGAGACGGGCTTGTTTCCTCGATCACCGACGTGGGAGGGACACGCTTGGTCTCGGGTGCGAGGACACTGGACAGGCCCAGCCTAACCTAGGGGAGGGGGTCTAGAGACGCCGCGGCAGCCGGCGTCTGGTCTCATTGTCTCTCCAGAAGTGGCCACTCCCCTACACACCCCAGTTCAGGAAGAGAGCCACAGGGAATCACAGGAGGGCAGGACTAGGCTAAAAACACACCATAAGGAAGGTGGAGGGGGGTGATTGACAGGTTAAGGGAGCAGTAGGGTTGCTAGATGAAGGAAAGGGAGGTGTCACCAGGGTGGAAACGAGGATAAAAGGAGGGAAACCAAGAGAGTCGAGGAGGATGTCGGTGGTGACTGGCTGGGAAAGCGAGAGAGATATAAAACGGCTGTTGACCCCGAGGAAGGGAGTGCTGAGAGTGCCGAAACTCCAGGACCTTTCCCAGTCTGAGGCTCTCATTTCCCTCCTGAGTTCTCAGCCACCACGGCAAGTGATCATCCGAGGCCTGGGGATACCCCAGGACACGATAGTACCATTGGTGTAGTGGTTAAGTGCGCGGACTCTAATCTGGAAGAACCGGGTTTGATTCCCCACTCCTCCACTTGCACCTGGCTGGATAGCCGTGGGCAAGCCGTAGCTCTGATAAGAGCTGTTCTTGAAAAAGAGCAGTTTCTGTCAAGAGCTCTCTGAGCCCCGCCTACTTCACAGGGTGTCTGTTGTGGGGAGGGGAAGGGAAAGGAGTTTGTAAGCCGCTCTGAGACACCTTTGGGTAGTGAAGGGCGGGGTATAAATCCAATATCTTCTCTTCTTCTTCTTGCCATGGAGCCAATATGGCGCTTAGAGACAACTGCCAGAGCAAGCGACCATGATCAAAACTTTAAAATGCTTCCAAAAGATCTCCAGGTCTCCAAACTGTGAGTTAAGCAGTGCTCAGGTGAAAAAGCGAACAGACCTTGGTAGTAATTGGAAGCGCCTAAGTTTGAAGCGTGGAGGGAGAGGGACCAAGCACCTCCCCCCCCTTTTTGAAAAAGATTTAAAAGCAGTTTTAAATCAGAAATAAAAAGACTTAGAAGTGCATAAGAAGTTAAGCGAATGCAAAAACTGCCAATATATATAAAGCGGATTCAAATCATATAACGTTTGCCTTGTTTTGGAAAACTTACTTCTTGTTGATATTATGGGTGGGAGAGGATGGAGGGCACCAGAGAAAAAACTGGTGACCGGAAATAACATACCAACGACTCCCTCTCAGAACCAGGAAGTAATTACAGACTTTTCTTCACTGTTAGCAAATGCACTGCACCCCCTGATGGAAAAGTTGACTAACCTCAATGCCAAACTGGACAGTGTTCAAAAACAACTGAATCAAATGGATAAAAGAACCTCAGTAACCGAGAAAACGTTGAAAAAAATGAAAAAACAGACTGAGAGCATCAACAAGAGAGTAGATGAAGCAGAGAAGGAAAGATCCTCCGATAAAACGCAACTAATACAGCTCCAGCTGGAAAGATCTACATATGTTCTACATTTCCATGGGATCCCTGAAGAGAAGAATGAGGACTTAAAAGAACTTTTGGCAGAGGCTTTGGCCCCATTAATGGATTACAAACAGGAAGACCTAGTGAAAGACATGGATGTAGCCTACAGGACTTACCCGGATTTTATAAAGAAAAATACACTCCCAGGGGAAACCTATTTAAAATTCACAAAACGATCTACCAGAGAACTAGTGTTAAAATCTACAATGGGAAAACCCTTAAAAATTAAGAATGAAGAGATAAAAATATTAAAAGACATTCCTTTTGAAGTCAGAAAAAGGAGGAAACTATACAGGATGCTTACTCTCACTCTGCAAAAAAAGGGAGTACCATATAGATGGTTATTCCTGGAAGGACTGGGCTTCAATTATCTGGATAAAAAAATACAAAATTGACTCTGTTCCAAAAGCTGGAAAATTTATGGACCAAATGTTTAACTCAAAATATAAGAAGAAAGAAAAGAACTCAAAACCAGATCAGGACGAAGAAGAAGAAGAATCCTATTCACAGGATTCAAAAAGCACTACTTCCACATCACCAGAAACATCGGAATCGGAGAAAGGAGAAGCCACCCCCAAACTCAAGAAAACGAAGAAACGCAGGAAGAAAAGACTCTAGAACAAGAACAACAGTTCTTAAAGGCAGAATTTGTGTTAAGCTATTAAATGCATATTCTTAAAGTAATACTGTAATGAACAAACCTGTATACCAAACTTGTAACATTAGGTTAATAAGCCTTACTTAGATCGTGATATGTATTAGCTTTCCTTTCCCCAAATCCAATAGATGAAATAGTTTAGTAGTTTTTTATGTATTAGTTTGCCCTCTTCCCATTTCCCATAGCTATAGTGTTAGGGTTTTAGTTTCCCTCCCCTTCCAACTTTTAGTTGTAGTTTTTGTGGTTTATAGAAAATGCAAATAAAAAATCCCCTTCGGGGGGCATTAAAAATGATAAAAGGCAATGTTTCTGAGCATGTAGAGAGTACATTTAAGTCAGAATTGTGGACTACCCCATATTCTTGGGATATCTGGTAGCAGATTTTGAGATTGGATGATGTAATTTCGTACAGGTCTGGCCCCTGACACTCCCTCCCTCTCTCCCTATTGGGTTAGGTGCTACTGAGATATAAGGCCTAGGCTTAATTGGCCATTCTGAGGCAATTTACTGTTCAGAGATAAACTTGTTCCACGTTTGAGATTGGATTTTATATCCCACTTTAGCGTGTATGTGTGCTTGTTAGATTAGCATCTCTTCCAAAAAAGCAGCTTGCCTTTTTTCTTCTGCCTTTTAGTACACAAGGGCATGCCTCCTGTTCCATCCTCTCCCTTGGTAATATGTTGCCATGCTGTGACAATCTTGCTTTCCATTTTCACCAAGGTGCTGTAGACACACAAAGGATGGGAAGCAAAGGTTTCTCCTTTGCTACAATCTGACATTGCCCCTCCAGCGTGACCTTGTCTGGATCATCTCCTTAGTAACTAGAAAGACCTGGCCCAGAGAAAACCTGCAGACCGCCTCCTTTAGTTACCTTTCCACCAGTCTCATGTCAAAGTTCTTGCGGTGGGGCAGAGGGCACAGTCGCTATGCCTAGCCTTACTGTTTGGTCCACCTCTCCGCCAGGCTGCCTAGCGTTTAAAAGAGAGAATCAAGCATGCATCCTCTTGGCATGTATCAAAGGAGTTCTTAAATGAAGTCCCTATCATCATATACCAGGGGTGGCCAAACTGCAGCTCATGAGCCGCATGTGACTCTTTCACACAGTCTAATTTAATGTTAATAAAAAGCAAATTTGCATATTTTCAATAAAAATGTATGTGTAATATTTGTTCATATCTTGCAGCTCTCAAACATCTAATGCTTATTCTGTGTGGCTGTTAGGTTAAACAAGTTTGGCCAGCCCTGTCATATACAGAAGATTATCCTGGACGGTTTATTTGAGAAGAGACACGGGTATAGAGGAAAATGAAAGACGTTTGTAGAAAAGAAGCATACAGAAGGGTAATGTGGTGGCGGCGGGGGAGGCAAAAAGCAGCGTCCTTAGAAGTCACTGGGATTCCCGCTGTACACCTCCGCAGGCCCTCTAGCTCCGCTTTAGCTCTCTCTTCGCCACTGGCCAAATGGTGCGTGCCAGCGTCTCCAGGGGAAAGGGACAGGAAGGCCTATCGCTCCCCAAAACAGCGGCTACGGGGCCTGAACTGAGCGCCCGCCCATCAGAAGAAAGGCGAAGGGGAGGCGCGCTGGCTCGGACTCGCCCTCCCGCCCAGGCCTTCCTGCTTTTGCCGGCAACTCCGTGGCGCCTCCTTAAATCTCTGCCGTTAAAATGTGGGCGGGCGTTTCAAGTCAAAGAGCGCTCAAATGTTTTTCCTTTTCAAAAAAAGCTGATGAGGGCAAGGAGAGGAGAGGAGGGGGGGAGAGACGGAGAAAGAGAAGCAGCAGCAGAAGGAGGAACCGGCTTTCTCGGCTGCAGCCAGCAAAAATCCGGCAAGGGTTCTCGCGTCAGGCAGCTGCTCCAGAAAGCTCGCTGAACCGAGCTCGGCTGCAGCCGAGCAAAGAAGGGCGGTCCCGGCAGGCAGTTTGGAAACAACTGCCGCTGCCCTCTTGCCGCCTTCTGGCTGGGAAAGGACGGCGTCCGCCTGCTGTCAATGCGGCGCAGCGGCTCTGCGGAGGGGCGATCCGGAGTCAAGCAACGGCCGGCGAGCCGCTCCAGAAACAGCCGCTGCTGCAGCCACTAGGCGACCCGCGCTTCACAGGAAGCGGCGGTTCTTTGGGTGTGCCATGCCCGGGCTGGCCCCCGAGCTCAGTCAGGCGGTGGCGGTGAACTTGCCAAGGTGGGATCCGCCGCCCGCCCGTCGCCCTTGGCCAGGTACTCCTGCGCTCTCCCCCCCCCCCTCCGCGCCGCCCCCCAGTTCCCAGGGGAGTTTAGCAGCTGATCTGCTGCCGGCTACTGTTAACCCCTTCGCTGCCACATTTGGAGGAAAGGCAGCTCTGGGGAGGGGGGGCGCCGGTGTCTGACCTCCTCCCGTCAACATTACGGATTAGAACTGCTGCAGAAGAAAGCGTGTCTGGGATCTCGGAAAGAGCTGGAAAGACCGGTGGGTCCTTGCTTTCTCCTCCTCTTTCTCCTCCTCCTCCATCTCCGCCTCCACCTTGTTCTTCGCTTTCTCCGTTTTTAGTTACGCGTTTTTCAGGTTGTCTGTTGAGGCTTCTGGGGGCGCTGTAGACTAGACGCGGTGGGGGGGGGCGGGTACGTGTTCATTTATTTCGCCCTGGCCAAGGTCCTCGGGAGCCTGGTGTGCGTGTTAGAGGTGCAGAGATCTGCCTTTCAAGTGGAGCTCCAGCAGTATGAATCACGTGTGAACCGAGGGGCGGGCTTTTGGCAAGGAGTTTTTTTACGAGTATTTACTACAAGGTCTACTCCAGAAGATTAACATCCGCACTCCTTCTGTCAGTTTCCGATGCCATGCCCGGTTAAAATAATAATAATCCTAATAAAAACACCAGCTCGAGTCATCCGCTCGTTGCCGATCGTCACTCGCCCTAAGGAATGGCCGAATCTGGTGCGAATGAGTTGGCGTCCGCAGCTGCCAGAGGGGACCTAGTGCAAGTTACTAATTTGTTGGAAAGGATTGTAAACGTCAATGCGCGAAATGGATTTGGGAGGACTGCGCTGCAGGTTGGTATCCAGACAGAGAGAGGCACTCTTTCGCCGCTAGGTGAACTGCTTGGACGGGGGCGAGGACCGTTTTTAACCGGGGAGGAAAAAAATCAGCATTTTTTAAAAAGCTAGTTGGTTGCCATATTTTATAACTTCAGCGGCTCCAACTCCTTACAGTGACGTCCTTTAAGTAAAACTAGTCAGGAGTGCTTTTCAAGAAGGCGGTTCATTCCCAATAGCAACTTGTCTACACGTTAATTCGATTAAAAAAACAAAACCCTTTTGTGGGGGAGGGAAGCAAGTGGTGAAGGGGGAGCGAAAAGAAACCATCCCGGGCTGGGTCGTGTTTCAGAGCAGGTCGGTAAACACCTCATTCCCAGTCTTTGAAATCCCGCTTATCTCGCCCTCCCCCCGGTGTCTCAAAGCGGGGGTCCTCGCTGGCTGAGGAGTCCTTGGGGGGGTTGTTGCGTTACCCTTGGTGGCAAGCGACTCGCTCTGCAATAGGGACTTGGTCCCGAAGATGTACATTAAAAGTTAGGCGACCTGAATCTCCGACTAAAAAGATGAGAGTCTTTCCCATTCTTTTAATAAGGTGGCAGGATTGTTTAACAATAAGGATTTCCTCGCCGTAGGTATAACGTTGTGTACACTCATTTCCAGTGTTTAGATTTACAGGCGGCAGCTGGAGTCCTTCCAGCTCCTAAAATCCTGGACCCGCTGAAAGATGTTTTCTTTTGAGAACCTTGTATAACGGTGCTGAAAGTGTTACAATGCAAGAAAACAAAGCAACGCCAGAGATGTAGAATGTAGGTGAAAGCTAGTAACAGTTTAGCGGGCGAGCCAACGGGTCAAGGGTGCAATTGGACGATTTAATGTCGCTTTTTAAATGCAATGTTGTTTGTGAGAAACCGGGGGGGGGGTCGCTTTCCGAAATGTTATTAAAGCACACCAGGTTCTTAGAGGATGAAATCAGAGGGAGAGAGGTTTTTTTTTTAATTTAAAAAAGAGAGAGATCTCAAAAACAGGAACTATTACTTTAACCCTACATGGTGCCCCTCCTTCAGATCAATAATCTTCTTTCCCTCTCTATTACGGAGTTTAAGGCTGAGAGATCTTTTGTGTATGAAATGGGACATGGTGGTATGAGGCCCAGGGAGACTAGACATCACTGAAAAAGGAGGAAAGGTGTAACCAGATTTTGCACTCCAAAATGGGGCTTCAGTTCGAAATAGTATTAGTTGGGGGGTTGTTTTCTTCCCTGTGATACAATAAGGGGGTAACATTCCCTAGGCAGAGGGGCAGCACCCAGCTTTCTTGAGCACAGATATCTCTTTTTTAATGCCTACTTTTTATTGCAACCTCATCATATCCTGTTTAATGAGTCCCAGCACAATCACCCCAAACACACACACGCACTATACCTCACCTCTCAAAAAGCCAAAACAAATCAGAAGGGTGACTGCTTATTTTCAGTATGCATAATCCAAACAGATCTGGCGATGGATGATAGAAACTGAGAAAGTTTATAGTCAACACAGTCCCCAATATTGCTTACCCTTTATGCTACTAAAGAAAGTGAAAACACATCTTGGCTTCTGTCATTCAAATAGTACTTTGTTGTTCTTTTCTCTGAACTTTTCTTTCTTCCCTTGTTTTTTTCAATCAGATGCTCTAAATCAGACCTCCTGTTGAGTTCTGGTTGGCAATACGATGCTTACCCTCCTAGGCCATTTCTTTCCTTTCCTTCTATATTGAAACATATTCAGCATCCGTGACAGTATTTTAAATTCAACTGCTCTCATATTTGATATTATGTACATTCTTCTTCCTTTACTGCAAATATAGCCCCACCCTTAAATGCTTTTCCTTGCTCACCCAAAATTATAAAACCATGAGTTTCCACAGGGAATGTTGTGTGAGAGCTAGAATGCCTAAGAAAATGCCTATGTGTTGGTTCCATGACAATACAGATAGTTATCAGTTTTCAGAAGTATAGGCTTAACAGAGAGAGAGAGGGAGATGTACAGCAAAACAGCAGCTATCTTTCACTAACCTCATCCCAGTTGGTGCTATTTCACACATGCTGCTGCATATTCTAGCTCTTATACTCTCCTTCCCCCAGCCTCAAGGTTCCTGGTTTTTACAGCTCTGTCCTGTTTTGTTTACTGTAACTACTCTCCTTGTTTATGCAGCAGTGTTTTTCCCCTCCTTTCATTTCTTGAGACAACTGTATAAAGGAATATATATATTCAAGAAGGGTGGGTAGAACATGGCTGAAAATACTGAAAGCACATCATTCTTCAAAACTGGCTGTTCCAAAAAGTAGAGAGCTTGACTAAAACATAACCTTCAGTGTGTGATATTACAAAACAAGTGATTGCATCTTTTTAAAATCACAGAGATTAGTGGATTCAGAAAGGTGAGGGTCTCCAGAACTGGACAGTCCTTCCTCTGTGCTGCCAATATTATACGTGGGCTCAGCTACAACATTATAAAACTGATATAAAACTACTTTTGCCTTAACAGGACAGCAGAAGCAATGCCACTAAATCTTAATAGGCAAGCTTTTTAATGACATTTACTGAGTATTTACACTGAAAAAATAATGTTTAGGAATGCCAATAGCTTTTTAAAAAACTTCAAGCTGAACTTTAGCAAAATTCTCCCTCCCCCCCCCCCCCAAGCTGGAATGTGTGTTCATACAATTATGAAAACACCAGGCAAGATTAAAGATGGAGTCCTGTGCACAGGTTGCTTAGAAATAAAATTCAGGGGTACTTAATGATAGAGCAAAGTTTGAGTCCAGTGGCACCTTTTTAGACCAATGAAGTTTTATTCTGGGTATAAGCTTTCATGTGCATGCACACTTTTTATGCCTATTATGAGGTTATGCATATCTGGAAGTGTCTCATGCAGCAGGATTTTTTTCTGTGCAGAAAAAATTCTTAGGATTAGACTATAAAAATGTATGGGGAGACAGGGAAACACACCCAATATCCACAATAACAAAACAAGAGGCCTGGTGGCACCTTTATTTAAGACTAAGAGTCTTGGGTTTTAATGGAGCCTGCTAGGCTACTGCTCTGGGATGGGGAAAGTTGGGACAATAGTGGCATATCTGTCCATCTCAATTCAAATGCTACCTTTTTTAAGAACAGGCAATGTAGACGTAGTAGGGTTATATTTCCTTGCTAATACACAAATAACTGATAGCTGTTGCTGATTGTGTTACTTTCTACCCCTCTAATGGAACTGAGGCACACTTACTGGAGTTTTCTCACTTTGGTCAGACAGTCAAACAGAATCCCATTTTGTCTATCAAATTTTGTTGCTGTCTGTCTGACCTAATTGGTTAGTTTTCTCCTGAGAAAGGTCCTAGAGCCTTTTATCCATTTCTACACTTTATAATTGCATTGGAAGGATTAAGGGGGGGGAGTTGTACTGCTTAGAGATCTTCCACTTGTTAATAAAATACTACATGGATCAGCTTATTCCCATATGTATGACATAGTGTACTGCATTCCATTTACTTTCCGAGGAAGGAAATCCTGTTTAGGATCGGGGTATAAATCCCAGCTGCCAATAGGGAGAGAGAAGAAGAAACAAGGCGATTTCTAGGCAATGTTTACTCGGAGGTAAACCCCACAGTTCATTGGGACTGACTTCCAAGTAAATGACATAGGACTACAGCAGGCTTCTAAAGACAGCGCAAGGTCGCGCTGAAATCAGTGGATCTGGTTTCCAAGAGAACGTGGAGAGGACTGTTAATGCAGTGCTATCCATGGAGCCAGAAACCACAGCCAAGCCCCTTGAGCTGGAACCGGAGCCTACGGCGAGGTTATGCTAGCACGCCACGAGTGACAACAAAATGTTTGCTTCTAGTCTGCTAGTTTTCCTGCCTGAGCGGAGTGGGGCTCTGGCACTTCAACCTGTCCTTGTGAAAACCCCCACTGCCCAGCGCGTTCTTCCGCGCCCTTCCCCCGCGCCCCGTAAAGACAGCAGGTGGAGCTCCTCCTTCCTCCTTGCTTGGGAAAGAGGTTTGAAGTCGGCGTGTTATCCCGCTGGGGGGGAGGGGGGATGCGAGAAGGAGAGGAAGGTGCGCAGCATGCTCCTGCCTCGAAAGCGAGTCCCCCAGAGGCTCACGCCTAGGGCAGCGCGTCCACAGCTGAATTCAAACCGGCCAAGGACAGGCTAGATTAGTCCTCTGTTACCCGTTCAGGGCAGGCCCGGCTGTTCAGGCGAATGCAATACCGGTCAAGACGGCGAGCTTCCACCGGCCTGCTTGTTTTCAGTCCAAATCAACAGACGGTAATTTGCAAATCAGTGACTTGGAGGAAAGACGCGGCGGGTAACGTGTGTTTGTTTCTCTCTTCCTCCCCTCCCCTTAGGTTATGAAGCTGGGGAACCCGGAGATTGCTAGGCGGTTGCTTGAGAAAGGCGCCGACCCCAACCTGAAAGACAGCGCCGGCTTCGCCGTCCTGCACGACGCCGCCCGCGCCGGCTTCCTGGACACCCTGCAGACTTTGCTCGACTCCCAGGCGGATGTGAACGTGGAGGATAACGACGGCAACCTGCCGCTGCACTTGGCCGCCCAGGAGGGCCACCTGCCCGTCGTGGCCTTCCTGCTGGAGCACACGGCCAGCCGAGTGGAGCACTGCAACAAGAAGGGAGCCACCGCCTACGACCTGGCCAAGCTCTACAAGCGCCACGCCGTGGCTCGGCTGCTGGAGGGCCCCTGTGCCGGCAGCAGGCGGAAGGCGGGAGCCCCCAGCGGGGACTAGACCCGGAACCCGCCCGGGCCGGGGACTCGGACAGATCCGCTGTTCTGCAGAACACCCTGTGCCCCCCCCCCCCCCACTCTCTGTTTCTTCATTTTAATCAAACACACACAGTTGCAGCAGACAAGGGGTGGGTTGTGTTTGGTTTTTTTCAACGGACATTTCTTTTGGGGGGCGGGACTATGTAGAGGGGGGACCCAGCCGGATGGTCGCTTTTTTTCTTGTAATACTCCTCCCCTCTCCTTGTTCATCCCTCCCTGTTCTGAAAAACTGTGCCAGGACCTGTTGAGGGGGGCGTAAAATCATCTTTCCCCTCCCCTGAAAAATCAGCTTGCTTAACAATATAAAATGAAATATCACATGAAGGAGTGAAAAATGATGTGAAAGGGCTTTGTGCCCTAGGGTTGGGGAGCAGTTTTCCCTCTAAGCTGAGTCAGTGTGAGCTAGCTCACCGTTTTTTTAGCCTCCGGCTCACATTTTTGTCTCTGCTCAGGAAGGATGGCTCCAGAGCAAACTAATTTATGCGGCAGCCAAATCGCTCACTCACAACTTTAATGCCAGGAGCTCACAAAGTAGAATTTTTGCTCACAAGTCACCACAGCTTAGATGGAGCATTGGTGAGAAGAAGAAAAAAAATAGGGATGTGAAAAGATTTATTTGAATAGGTAGCTGGGTGGTGGCAATAACGAAAGCTTAGGGAAATAGATCCCAGTGATTTTTTGTTATGGGTGACATACTGAGCTACTTTTGTGAAGGAAATTCTGTAGAAATCATATATATATATATATATACACACACACACACACACATACAAGTTTAACTGATGAAGGTAGAAAAGGAGAGGCAAACGATTTGTTTTAATGCTGGCATTTCAGAATAGTTTCACAATTTAAGAAATACTTGCTTTTCACAGACTAGGTTATAAAGATCTATCTGTCCAATGTTCAGTTTCACAAACATGGGGAGATCCTGAATGTATGAAAAGCAATAGAGTGTGCCTTCCTCTTGCTTTTCACCAAACGATAGTAGTTGCACAAATACACCAGTTTGGAATAAAGATACAGAATGACTGGCAAGATTAGATTTACTGTCTTGAATGCCTTATGACCCCTCTCAGAACTGTCTTGTTAGCTAAAGTTGCCAGCACTGCAGTTTTCTCAAGAGATCTTCCGTTTGTTCCAGCTGAGTTACTCCAGAGTAAGAATTTCCTATTAAGTTTTGAGAAGTTCAGCTAACACTTGTTTTGCAGGATCGTAGTGCACTAGACTAATTAAGTGCTTCAATGTAGCTGTTCTAAATAAAAATATATATACCGAAGACGTATATTTTAAAAGCAAAAATGTGAATGAAAATTGGACTGCTTTGGTTCTTTTGTTTTTAGTTTTAAGCATGCAAATATACACCTATTGTTGTTTAATATTGCAACAGTTTTCTGATTTAAAACCTCTATAAGTTGCAAACCTGAGCGTATTTCCCCCCCTTACATATAATGTCTTTATGCGACAGTCACAGGGTTAGGATGTGTGGCCAATCCACACACTGAAGCATCACAAAAACTGAACCATGTGAATGTGGTACAATTTTGAATGGTTAAGATAGCCAAGAGCAGAGCGTTGAGCAGACAGCCTCCAATGCTCGGCTTAAAGCAAGGACTGGTGAGCTCAGCTGCAAGTAGAGATTCATCTACTCTCCTGATCCTTTCCTGGCCCCCCCCCCCTTCAAAAACAAGAGTTCTAAGAGTTCTGTATCTTTGTGCAGCGTTACAGTGCACATCTTTTCTGAACGGTGTAAGCTTCCCTTTCACTAAAACCGAGGTTTGAGAAGGTCAGTAAATAAAACAGCGAGTTCCACTGCTAATAAAAGCAGCGGCCTTTATTACAAGGCAGAATTTAACCCATACATCTCCTTTAAGTTAAACCAAAGCCCACATGATACAAAGCAAATTAAAAAACCAAGCCTTGACTCTACACTAGAAATAAATTTTCTTTGTTTTTTTGTTTGTCGTTTTTTCTTGAGCGTTTTAAATTGGGGAGGGGGGGACTGATCGATGCATGTATATCTAAAAATTTTGAAGAAGCCAGATTCTGTGCTAGGAACATCAATTGGCTGGCGGCTAGCAAGTGACAGGCTTGGGGGAATCAAAAAGAAACAAATGAGATCCAGAAAGCCAAATTATGGTATTTTCAGATTGTTCATCCAGAAGAACCTATGTGGTTTCAGAAATGACTATAGTTCCCTGGCCGGGAAGGCCAAAAAGAACAGGAACAGTCATATTTAGACAAATTAAAAAGCCGAGTCTCGGCAGTGTTTTCGACTATTAATAGGCAAGAATTATTTGGATTTTCACGAAAGTGCTCTTTCAAACAGGTGTCTGATGCAGGTCCAACAAAGCTCAGCGATGGATCAGGATCTGGCCATTGGACGTTTGCACGGAAAGCCGGCTCAACTGGCGATGCTGCGACTTATCAGTCAATAGCGTTGGCTTCCATCGAATTTATTTTCGGTCAGATCTTGATCAGGTGGCTTTGGAAGTAAAGTTCTACCGAAATCAACACCACTTTTCTTCTAAATGAAAACATTGGGCCATATATGTCAAATTCGCACGCACACGCGCGCACGCACACAAACCCCAGTAAGGTACGACAGACCCTCGGACACGACACGACTGAGCACTCGAGTGTGGTTCCAGGAGCTGCATAGCCATACAGTGGGGCAAGAGCATGTTGCGGCTAACCCAGCAGAAGTGAGATCCGAAACGAGGACATCGCGAAGCCTTTCAGTCCTCCCGGCCTTTCCTCCGGCTGGCAGGGCCTGTCAACACCGGCGCGCTCCCCTCCGGAGAGTGGAGGAGCCGCGAATCGTCCACCCTCCCCCCCAATGCCGAGCTTCGTCTCCTTCCCCGAAGCCGGGAACCATCTGGCTACAGCCGCGAGGGCTTGGTCAGGGTAGACTCAAAATGTCGGCCCCGCTGGTGGCTTCCTCGCAGCTGCCTCCTAGTGCAGCAGCAGCATCTGCGCCAAGGAAGCTGCCGCGGTCCAAGCCCACCCGGCCGGGGGTAAAGAGGACCCAGCAGCGGCCGGAGGGGAGGAAAGAAGAGGCCCCTTCAGGAGGACCATTAAGTCTCGGCCTCCCCCCAGCCGCGTCCCACCCCTTTACGGTTTCTTTTCCTCTTCTCTTCCTGTCCAAACATTTTTAAATTTTCGCGCCTTCACCAACAGTCTGATTTTGTTTATTCGGTTTCCTCTGCGGACTTGGCCGGCCTTTGGCTCTGCTGCGCTCCCTGCTCTGGGAGGCGGACTCCTTCTCTCGCCCCTTCCCTTCCCCGGGGCAGGCGAAGCCGGAGCGCGACCCCCGAGGCGATGGACCGCTAGCCAGCCTCCTCTCGGCTCTCCTCCTCCTCCGCACCCTGCCGCGCGGGGCTGGTGAAGTTTTGCGCGATGGTTATTTCGCTTTGCGCCGCAGACAAAGATGCCGGAAACGCCACAAGAGAAACTCCATCTCTCCGCAGTTCTCCTTCAGCGAGAGGATGCCGGAGGGGGAAAGGCGGTGTTGCATGTGCGCACTTCTGAGAAGCTACGGCTGCTCCTCTTCCTCCTGGGAAAGCCAACTGTCAAAGGGATGCCAGGCTGCAGCCTCTCCTCTTTCAAGACAATTATCCAGTAAAGAAGGAATGACTTTGGCTTCAGGCTCCTAGCAAGTGAGGTATCCTACTTATTTCCTTGTTTACCTTGCTTTAAAAAAGAAATAATACTTCAGGAGTAATCAAAGGTGATGAAACTCCTCCTACATGGGAATATCTGGTTAGCATTGCCTGTTCTGTTTCCCAGTATCAGCACCATCCCATATCTTCTCAACATATCACTGTTCAAATATTGTGAGTCACATTTGGAAGGCTGAAAAGAAAGGAGAGTAGAAAGAGGAAGGACTTGACAAACTGTGTTTATTAAGCAATTTTGAAGGAGGCTCCACTGCTTTGCATTTTGAGACACTGGGATACATAGAAGATTGCTTTGGTGCTCAGCTGGAGTCTCTTGAGACCATCCTGAGCTTCCATTTGTGCATCATCATTTTTTAAAGCTGCAGACTGAAGGAGTAAACCCAGAATATTATCAAGGCACACAGTGGACAAAAATAAAATCTATATAGGTCAAGATGAATGGGAGAGTGGTTGCTGCCAATTTGGAATCTGTAGAAATAGCAGCTATGCCTCTATCTTTGATATAAAGATCTCATCTTATTTTTAGATAGGCTATGCAGAAGACACACATATCACCTTAGCATTGCAAGATAATGTTAAATATTGTCTCTGAAGAAAATATTCAAACCAC